GAATCAAAGATTGGAGCAGAGAAGAAGACAACGATTAGAGAATCAAAAATTGGAGCGGAGAAGAAGACATCAACAGCGGCAAGCATTTAGGGTTTCTGAGAGGAGCTGGGCAAAGCTTCTCACTCACCCCTGCCATCTATAAATAGACAAAGATGGTTCCTGGACTTATTGGATTTATAGGCCCAATAATGGTTGGCCCATAAACTAACCAAATTTCAATTGTATTTTGGAAAAATCGTCCAAAACGTCCCTCACATTTTATAAAATAACTTTTTTCATCACTCATTTTTAAAAGTGTAATTTTATATCTCTTATATATTCACATCGGACAAATTTAGTCCCTACCTGGATTTTCGATCATTTTTTGGCCGGAATCCGTCATGTGCAAGGCACGTGATCAATTTTTAAGGATAAATTTGTCAAATTATATTTTACATAATCTGATCTATAGTCCTCCATATTTTATAAAATAAATTTTTTCGTCCCTTATATTTTATAAAATGATTTTTGTCATCCCTCACATTTCACAAAACTAATTTCGCTATCCCTCACATTTCAAAAAATGAATTTTTCATTTCTCACTAATTATGTGTATGAATACATTTTTTTAAATACATGTATATGTCTATTTGATTTTGTTTAATAATAATAGCATAAACACATGTATGTAATTGGGCCCAACTTGTAGGTTATCTTCTTTTTTTGTATGATTATTACTAATATTTATCAATAGAATCTTAATTTGCATATTCTTATTATATTTTGACGGAAAAAAACTTTATTGACCAATTTGACAATGAATACAAGATTATTTACTAGCTAATACCAGATAAAATCAAATGATCACATATAATATATGGTATTCATATTGTTAAGTGAAATTAAATAGACACATAAATATATTTATGCTATTTGTATTATTAAGTAAAATTAAGTAAAATCAAATAGACATATACATGTGTTTAAACAAAATATATTCACACACTTTTTTTTTTTAGGATTTTTCTCACATACATAATTAGTGAGAGATGGAAATATTCATTGTTTGAAATGTAAGGGATGGAGAAATTCATTTTGTGAAAAGTGACGGATGAAAAAATCATTTTATAAAATGTAAGAGATGAAAAATTTTGTTTTATAAAATGTGGAGGACTATAGATCAGATTATATAAAATATAATTTGACAAATTTACCTTTCAAAAATGATCACGTGCCTTGCATGTGATGGATTCCGGCCAAAAAATGATCGGAAACCTAGTTAGGAACTAAATTTGACCGGTGTGAATATGCAAGGAATATAAAATTGTACTTTTAAAAATGAAGGACGAAAAAAAATCATTTTACAAAATGTGAAGGACGTTTTGGACGATTTTCTCTTGTATTTTCTCAAGTAATCAATCAAGTGAATGAAAGCCATTATACATGTCTACTGACTTTTTTGAGTAACATACTGCATGCTTATCCCACTCCAAAAAAAACAAAGTTAAAAAGTATTTCTTTATTATATTCTTACACTTCGTTAGCTGAGTGTCCTTCTTATTTAGTACATATTTTTTCTTTTGGAGAAAAGTTTGTCAAGTGGGATGGATTGAGCAAAGCACATTGAGGCAAGTTTCAGGGTAGTGCAACGATGAACTCCTTCTCCAGCTACTTATCGGTTTATTGATATTAGTATCCTTATACTATATAAAAATGAGTTTGGGTCAAAAATGGTTTTGAATTTCAACTACAAGAGTAGAGGTATTTTGGGATTGTGAGATTGTTTTGAATGTAGTTATAGAGTTGAATACTACTTAAGATAGCATGTGTATTATTGTGTTTACCGAAATATCCTTATATTTTAAAAGATGCAATGATGATTTGTTCAAGGGTTTGGGTATTTTGGGATGTGAGATTATTTGGTCATTTTTTCTACAACGGGTACAACCCATAATAGCTTCTTTATTGGAGTAATTACTTTAAATGTTTTTGGAGAGACATTCATTTTGGTTTGTATCAATTATTACTGTTGCTTTACTATTATAACTTGAAGAACTTCAAACGTCATTTTCATCTCAATTAAAGTAAGGACAACGTGATTTATTAAGGAATTTATGACTGAGCATTAGTTTCAACTTCAATTCTTCAAATGTCTGCCCCTTCACATTCTTCCGTTATATTCCTTTCATCTTCCGCTAAATAGTTATTCGTATTGTAATTGTATTTTGGATTTCAATATGGTTCTCTGGTGAAACTATTCTTGGAGGTTCGACTTGAGGTGAGCTTTTATTCATTTTTTTAAAAAATAGTATGATTTGTTTTGTAAAATCGTAATCTTTATTATCAGCTAAATGCTTTTATTCCTAAATTGGATACTCTGTTAGCCTAATTTAATGTTGATATTACTGTTTTCCCACAAAATTGATTGTTTTGTACAATTTAAATGATGTGATTTTGTTAGAATAAGTTTGGAGATACAAAACTTTCTCTTCTGGTCTACTTACATGGCGGAGGTTTTTTGATAAAATCTGACTTCTCTTCTACATATCATACGCACTTTAATGCAGTAGATGCAGAAGTTGATGTTGTAACAATTTCAATTAACTATCGGTTCGCCCTTAAACACCTTCTGCCTACTACTTATGAAGATTCTTATATTGCAGTCAAATGGGTTGCCTCTCATTCGAATGGCAAGGGTCCTGAGGTATTGTTTAGGGATTATACTAACTTTGATAGAATATTTTTTGTTGGGAACAACGCCTGTGGCAACTTAGCACACAGCATGGCATCAAGGGTTTGGCTAGAGATACTGGACAGCTTCGATCTTGATGCGATTTTTCTCAATTGTCCTTATTTTTTGGGGAGAGAGCTAAAGAAATTACAGGTGAAGGCCTATGTTGAGGGCATCTGGCATTATATTCACCTAAAATCTACGGGGGTTGATGATCCATTATTGAATCCCTATGATAGAACCAAACCTTTGCTGCAAAGGGTGCTGATTTATCATTTATGTTGTTGAAAAAGATATTCATGAAAGATAGGGGGTGGCTTTATAAAGAGACTTTAGAAAATAGTGAGTAGGGTGGAGATATAGAGGTTGCAGGGAAAGATCATATCTTCAGTTTGTTTTTTTCCAAGAGAAAGATTGCTTTGTCGTTACTAAAAACATTGGCTACTTTCATCAACAAGAATGTTGTGTAGATGCATCTATAAGTGGATAATCACTTTATTTATTGTCATCCTTCGAATTATTTGTGTACTTATTGGAAGTTCATTTAGTTTTGTTAATAAAAAAACTCATATACAAGTGTTTGTTTCAAAATATATGAACCGAGCAAGATAGCATGCATAATTTCCTTCTCCATCTCCCAATATACATTAGATATTTTGTTACTCCATATTGTTACTCAATGTACATGAAATTTTTTATATTCGCTTGAATTACCGTAAAATCCTCTTTAATCATAGGCACAAAACACCCGTACAATGCACGTATATATATTTAATCAGTGGTTCAACTAATTAATCATCAAAGTTGCCTTTTGATAAACTTACTGGACACGAACAATAATATTCCGCAACTCCAGAACAATAATTGTACATTTCATAGTATTAATTAGAGCAGTTACCATCGGTCCACTAGATTAATAGCGATTGATAGGTATTAGGTCCTTCCATTCCTTCCTACCAGAACGATCTATGCCTATCTCGCCCGAATACCTTGTGATCAACGGAAAACATGGTTGACAATCACGGTGTGCCATATGTCGGCGTTATTACGAACGTTCTAGATCATGTTAATGCCTATTCACCATGTCCACCCTACTTGTGTGATTTGGTGGGTATACATTTCATGTTTCAGTGATTTGAAAACCTATAATTTAACCTATTGTGATTATAATCGAAGTAAGACACAGTTAGATTTTTCATCATATCTAATGGTCAAATTTAAATAGCCAAACTTTTTAAATAAAATCATTAGAATATTACAAAATCACGCCTTGATCTAAGGTTAACATAATATTCTAAAAAAAAAATTGAGGGCAAACTATATTTTTAGAAAATTATGAGTTAAAAAATGAAATTATAGGGGAAAAAAACTTATGTTTGCCTCATCTTCAATGCTTAAGAGGTAAAATAAATATAAAATGTTTATTATAGCATTGAAGACAAAGCATATATATATTTATATTTCTAAAATTCATTTTCAACTCAAAATTATGTAAAAGTATATTTTGCTCTCAAAATTTATTTAGAATATTATGTTACCCTTAAATCGAAGGTCATTTTTTTGTAATTAACGATCATTTTATTGGAAAGTTTGACTATTCTAGTTTGACTGTTAAATTTAACAGAAAATATGAAGGTTTCACTTTGAATATAACTGCACGGGATTAAATTATAGATTTTCAAATCATAGCAAAATAAGAAAATAAAAGTATACGTACGCCAAACATAGCATAGAATATAATGCAATCTTATCAAACAAATATTTTCATTTCTCATGAATTTGATAAAAAAGAATGAAATAATTCTTATTAATAGAGTTTATATCTTGTTTTTAGTTCATTGATCCTAGTTTAGTAAAGCACTGTTATGTTTTATTCTTTAAAATGATAGTCTTTACAACTTTGAGGTGAGCTTGGCCTAATGGTCCAGGATTCAAATCCCACCCTCCTTGCAAGAGGGAAAAAAAAAAAGAGATTGTCTTTACAACATTATAAAATCATTAACTATAATAATATGCAATTTAACAGGGTATTTGGTAAGTAAAATAGAAGATTTTTTAAAAAAGGGCACTTTAAAACGATCCAAAAAAAAAAAAAAAAAAAATCAGTACTAAGCCCACCTATCCGGAAACCCAGCAAAAAGCCTTTTTAACAACCTTCTTTACACAACAAGCCCACTGCCCTAATCCCAGTTCGCACCGCACTCGAACCCTGCGGCCACCTTCCGTCTCGTCATTCCAACACAATCCTCCTCTTCGCTGTTCGTTTAAAGGCTTTTTGAAATAGGTATGTGAAAATTAGCTTCTTATTCTTGTTTTTGGTTTGTTTATTTCAAATTGATTTTGTCCAATGCATTTTAGTCATCAATTCTTTTCGTGATGTTCTCGGGGGGATCGTCATTTTGATGTCATTAATGTTATTAAAGCATAAAGGTTTTTAAGATCGGGTTTTTTTTTTCGGAGTCACTGCTGATTATGGAGTCTCCGATTTGTACGGTGTCGTTCCCCCGAACGGCCAGCCAAGTTCCTGTGACAAACTCCGGCTCCGACGAGTCTTTCAACCATGGATAGGATTAGATTATTTTTGTGTAATCCAAAGTATTCCTTCTGATTTGATTACAGTTCTAATGATTATATCTGTTACATTTATTCTATGTGTTTACAATGATTTTCAGCCAGTATTAGACTCAAATGAATAGTTGAGAGACTATCCTTGCTTCTAATGTTGGTTCGTTGGTCTTGCATTTCCTGAGTGGTTTAATACTTTAGATATCTTAAAATTAACCATTTACTGGTGGGAGCTGCCTTTTAAGGTGGTCGACTTGAAAACCTATAAAAATTGCAATGCCATGACTTTAACAATTAGTGTGAGCTTATGAGTTGCTTCTATTCTCTTGTTTGACATTACAAGGAGAAGCTCCTTGTGAATTTATAGTGTCTTTTATATCACAACGTGCTAACAGGTGTTTCATTAAGAACAGCAGTGTAATAAAGCAAAGTCGAGTCAAGTTTATGGCTTATGAGCTCAAGCTGAACTTTGAAGTGCTCAAACAAATGAAGTTGAGCTCGAGCTGTTTTACTTGAACATTTGCTGCTGAATGAGCTGGTAATTTGCTACTATATTGAATGTGAAGATTATGCTGTCCTTAATGTTCTTCTACTTTAGTTAATTAATGAGTATACACCGTTTATGTGTCTTTGTGTGTGTGTGTGTATTCTTTCAACAATTCAAAATGCTAATTTCTTACTGTATTCAAGTTAGGCATGGACTCTGTTGATAGATTCAAGACGATTGTTAAGATAAGAAGCAAAAGTCTACATTCATGTCCAGTTAGTGTCAAGTACGTAAAGTCAGGTTCTTGTATTTTTTGTGGAACTTGACAAGGAGTGAATGATGCTTGACAGAATTAGAGTCTTGTAATAAATACAATTCTATAGCTAGATTAGAACTGACTGCAAAGCATTCAATAGAATAATTTTCTGCTGGAGACTTTGCTTGTGCACTTTTTTGCTTTCTGCATGTTTCCTGGTGTTTAGCTGATATTTTTTGAAATGATTGAAAAGGAACACCCTCCCCCGACCCTCCCAAAAAAAAAAGGAAGTAGTCAGGTTCTGGATTGTAAGGTTCAATGCTTGTGAATATAATCAATATGGAGATGATTTCAGCTGCACAGGAACTCAAAAGAAATGTTGATTCGATCATACCCTGTGGTGTTCAGAAATGAATTCTCCTTCACTTGGGAACTAGTGCTTGACTAGGTAAATTATCCTCGTTTCTTTCCTTTTTCTTTTGAAGCTACATAGCTACCTGCCTAATACAGATTTTTAATATTAGAATTTACAGGAAATGTACTTCTGTTCTTTTCCTTTTGACTTTCTGTGAATAGAAATTTATACCAAGCATAAAGCATAAGTTATTCTTTTTTGCTTTTTGCTGAATAAGATTTTTCCAGATAATGTCAGAAGGAGATTCATATATATTGTTTCAACCTGCTTCTTAATCAGTAAGAACTAGTGTCAATTTTTTACGGTTTTATTGGAGACATTACTTCTGTTGCCAAATGACAAAATTGCTCTGATAATAGAAGACTAAGCTGGTTGAAGGGATTTCACTTAGTTAAGATGCCAAAGGTTAAGTGAAGCCCATGATAACATCCATCATTTGATGACAATAGTTTTGGCTGTTCAGATTGCTGCTTGTCAATGAGCATGTATGGCATTGATAACTTTATTGGTTCTTATGCAATATTGTTTCTTATTACTATTTTCATATTTCAATTTGCTGGAAGAAAAATTAGATAGGTAACCACTTTTGTGGAAGAGTATTAACTTTTAATGTTTCAAGGGAACCCACCATAGTGGAACAACTCTTAAAAAAAAAGATAGTGAGTGTTGTGGATGTAAATAATCAAACCTTTTTCTAGTTAGCTTCATGGAATGTAAAGTTATTGGCTGTTGATGTTGTTATTCTAGTTTAGCATAGTGAGTGTTGTGGAAGTAAATAATCAATCCTTTTTCTAGTTAGCTTCATGGAATGTAAAGTTATTGGCTGTTGATGTTGTTATTCTAGTTTAGCTGCAGGGGCTGATGTTACTGCAAGATAATAATATTGAATTAGATCAATAGATAATAGATGATGCCATGTGCATTTGGTGTGTGGATGATGGTTTTTGTTTTTTCCTGTTGTCAGATTCCACTATTATATGCCTTAAGCATAGTCTGACTTGTTTTTAACACTGTTTTAATAGGAGAAGATTACTGATGGCAGCTTCAGCTGAAGAATATGCGGCATTTGAAGAAAGGGTGAGAAGAACAGTCTATATGGATAACCTGTCACCTCAGGTGACAGAGAATGTTCTGAAAGCCGCTTTGGATCAATTTGTCAATGCCATAAATGTCCAATTCATTCCCAACTATATCAATCCACAGAGCCTCCCACGAGCTGCTTTGGTGGAGATGGAAACTCTGAAGCAGGCCTCTGCGATCATTGCTGAGATGGCTGATTCTCCCTTTATGGTCCTTGGGATGCCAAGACCTGTCAGAGCACGTGCTGCAGAAGTAGAAATGTTTGACAGTCGCCCAAAGAAACCTGGCAGGAAGATCACTTACAAGTGGCTGGACCCTGAAGATCCTGATTTTGAGGTTGCCAGGAAGATTAAGGTTTTGACCAGAAAGCATGCTTCTGAAACCGAATTCCTGCTCAATGTAAGAATTAAGATTCTTATGTTATTGCTTTTTTGATAAATGTTCTTATCCTTGTACTACATTGAGCTGACACGTATTATAGTTCAATTTTAAGCCCACTTTGTTCCATTAGTCCAATTGAATAATACTTTTTTTTTTCTTTTTTGGCATTTCCTTGAAGCAGCATCAACTCAAGGAGGAGGAAAACCTTGCAAACCAGCAGCTGGAGAACTTGAAAGCGCACTATAAGAAATATGAGTTGATAGATGGTGTCCTATCTGACAATACTGCCAAGAAATTAGCAGATCGATACAGGATACCTCTTTCAGATGCTTGAAAGAGTTCCTCTTCAATGTGATTTAGCATGTGAACATTTGTAGTAGCTGTATATGCCGTTTGCGCTTCGTTTTGTATATAAGTTTTATCGCTGGAGGTGATTTGGCATTCACTGCAATCTTAAAAGAGCTTAGATTAGTTGCAGGCTTGTGCTTATTGTTGAAGGATCTGCTTTTCCTTGCTATATTTGGTAAATTCTTGCTTGTTACGAGATTTGGTAGATTGGAGCAGAAGAAGATTGTGGTTCGTAACTGCTGTTACAAACCTATTTTTCAAAATGGTCGAATCTCAAACGGTATCATCACCCCAGGACGCAACTAAACTACCCCTAGCAAATTAAACCCCGTGACATTCCCTTCTCCTTGATGGAAGTTTACAAGCCGAAGGTATCGAGGAGGATTGAAAGATCAAAAAACAGCAGAGTAAAAGACAGTGCATGGACAACTCCTCGGGACCCGTTATGATCAGTTTTTGATAACATTCGTGTTTTCTTTCATTTCGCTTCTGTTAGCGTGGGCGCTTTTGGGGTGAATGCGGAGGACGTTTGAAATGGCCCATAAATTTCTGGGACAAACATGTACTATTTCTGAATCGATTGCTTTAACATTGTGATAATAGATTAAAAAGGTAAACAACGATGCTAACAGGTCAACATACACCAATGTTCCCTAGGACCATGCCATAGGCAATTTGAAAACTTAGCTACAACATCAATTGATGCCTGCCTGCACCGTAAGATTGAGCAGTGATTGTCCTTGGCACAAAAATTGGTCGCAACACTCATGAACGGCAGCAAAGCTGTTACAAGACAGGTGCAGCAGCGTCTCCAACTCCAACACACTTTACTAATGGGATAAACAAGGTTGAATTGAAACATGTTTTGGAGCTAACAACAGTGAGATAAAGTGGAGGAAATCAACTCCTAGTGTTTAATAGTACAAGTTTAAGAGACTAACAACTAATGGCCATATCAATCGTCACTGAAACTATACGTCTATGACCTCACGCTGGTCGAACTTTTACCATCACTTAATGGGACAATTGTCCTCGCGTATTACGATTATGAAATTTTCTTCCTTTAGAATCAAACAAAATGATTTTAGTTCCTAACAAATAAAAGAATCACGTGATGAGTTCATGGCTTAATCCAGTACAAATTTGCTTTTCAAAAAAGTAATTCGAGACCAAAAGTGAGCGAGCATCTTTTATTCGTGAGGAACTAAAGTCTAAAGTCTCTCATTTTGATTCTGAGACACGAAAATTTTACTTTGCCAGTATGTGAGGAATGATTGAAGCAATTTTTCCTCGCTTAATCGCAATTTAAACTTCATATAAATTCATATGACAACCTATTTTCGTTCAGAAAAGTGCAATGATTTTCTTGTTTTTCTGTTTTACGGCAATAAATGAAAATTTTCTTTCACTTGCCATCAGTCTCCCTAAAGGACTATGATCACTTCACTCAAGAATTTAAAAAAGGAAAGGAAGCAAGCACAGTGCGATCTCAGAGCATTCGTGAATTGAAGTTTAGTTTACATCATGATGGAATAGTCTATAGTAAGAGTGAAAGAAAATTGATTTTTGACAAAAAAAAAAAAAAAAAGAGAGTGAAAGAAGGATAGTTAATCACCTGTTTCGACAATGAATTGATTAGGACATTCATCATTCATGCGAGGGGAGTCATGCAGTTGCAGTTTTGCAGCTAAGTAGCAGTAGTAGTACACTACTGCTTATTTTAAATAAAAAAAAGAAAAAAGAAAAAAGAAAAAAGAGGCACTCTCCTTTATTCGCTGACATCGGGAAACATGAATAAAATACCATACCCTTTCTTACCTTCCTGTCTTCCTCTTTTTCAGTTTCTCTTCCTCCTTGGCTGCGTTACAGTTCTCCGCTTGTTGTGTCAATTATACTATTAGTACATGCCCGGTACAACTCTCTCTCTCTCCATACGGATGGACTATTAAACAAGAAAAGGCTTAATTTTTGATCTTACAAAAATGCATGGCTATAGTCAAGATTCACACTAACTTAAATATATGTGCAAAGAGGACGCATCAGAGAGAAAATAAGAGCAATTTGTGCACACACACACACACACACACACACAAAAGAGGAAAAACTGGGACATATAAACAGGATACTGAATCTATAACCTTTACGCGAGTACATCTCAGATCAGATCAAACCTCAACTCGCAAAAGCTCGGCTGTGGTCTCTGTACCATGTCGGGAGCATAGATTTTTCCGGTCTAGTATGTAATGCCGCAGACTTGAAGAAGAAGAAGAAGGAGAAGCTGAGTGCCGCCAATGGAGTCGGTCCATTTTCACAGATGCATCTGATGGAAACCTGCTGTTAGAGGTACGTTTGACATAATCTTCTGCATTCTGCGGTTTTGTTCATCTGGTCAGGTCAATTAGTTTTGCTATATGTTCTAGGATTCAATTTTCTGCGATTTAGTCCGATCATCACATTAAAACTACTGAAACTTGCATTTATTAGGAAAGCGCTTAATCACTGCATATTGTTTTCTTACGGCATCGACCAGCCGTAGACTGTGTGGACAGAGTCACCGATACGGCTTAGCCTCGCACTTGTCGAATGTTTGGGGATTAAAACGAAAACAATATCTATTAGTCGTACATTTTAACAAAATTTGAAGAGTCGAGTCCAGGATATGGACCTTCAATGTTGTTTGTTTGTGTTTTCGAGCCTCTGTACTTAGAAACTCGCTTTAAAGTTCAAACTCGAAATGCACTAAGTATATTCAGCAAGCTAAGCTACTCTACATTTTCCGGGAGTTACGGAAGAAAATATCCAGCAGATCATTCTAATTTTCCAAAGTTATCTTTGAAAGAAATAACTCTCTGCAAACAGAAATGTTTACCAGAATTCTAATTAGAAATGATAACAGGCGCCCACCGAACGTCCTGTGATGCTCAGAGACCGTAATTATGTTTTGGGATAATTTCAGAAACCTCCCCTGAGGTTTCTCATGATATCACTTAGGTTCCCTAAAATTTTTAAAATCTCACTCACCTCACCTGTCAGCTTGACGTGCCTAAATATTTCTATCAAAAATTACAAATTAACAACATTACCCGTACTCTTAATAGCTATTTAACCAAAAAGCCAAAATAAAATAAAATTTTTAAACCATAAAATGTAGATTAGAGAAAAAAAAATAAATTGCTATCTGATAACGGTCCATATTTCTTTATATCAAGGTCATGGTGGGGACAATAAAAGACGTGAATAAATTAAATCTAGTCAAAATCAATCACTTAAGATAATTTTGATGAGTAATTAATGCTTTGAAAAATTTTATGGACAGTTATGACGAAGTCAAGAAATTTTGTTACAAAATACGTATTAATACATGACATAGTTTAAGTTGTACTGAAAATAAAATAATCTCTTCATATGTGTGGTTCGTAATATAAATCCTACCTATAGAAAAATTTTTATAAATAAGTCAGAATTAAAAAAATAATCCAGACCAAATATATATTTGGGAATATCCTTTTTTTTTTTTTTTGTTAAACATCGTGCTTTATGTTAGATAATAGTTTATAAGGGTAGTATTGAAACAAAAGTTTTATCTTTCTTGCATTTCCTCCAAGGGGGTTAAAATATTATGCAAAATGGTAGATAAGGTTTTAAAAACCTAAGGGGAGTTGAGTGATATTATGCAAAATGTTAGGGGAGGTTTCTGAAATTATCGCTTATGTTTTACGACAATATCTATTCTGCCACGAAATTACATACATAAGCCAGAGTTTAGAAATTACAGGCTTTACGGCCTCTGAGATTGCTGAAGCCAATTCAAAGTTTAACCCAAGAAAGAAAGACGGAGAGATTTTGTCTGTTTCTCTTTCTTTCAAATCTTGTCACATGATGAATTATGAATTCATGTACCTTTGCCGTACACTGAAGATTGGACTTAAGGTTCCCTACCACAATAGTAGTAGTATTTCTCCGTCTTGGCAGCATAACTGATTCAGAATTCAGTTAAACCATGGACAGACAGACATACCCCAAAAATTACTGCCTTGTACTAATAATAAATCTTGAAAACTCTTTGCACCCACAGATATCTCACTTAATTGCTAATTTTGTGAAAGTGGTGGCAAAATTACCATATTCGCTGCTAATTTGCCAGATCAGACAGCCTTAAATTTGCATATTGCACAACTCAATAATGATCAATCGTGTTGTTTCAAGAGATAAGAGAATTTTTGTAGTGATACGATGTCGTTATGAACTCTTTTTATATGCTAATTTTGTCTCGATTTGAAGTACTGGTTAAATATTGATTCAGATCGTGCCGCCCACTTATCTTGCTGTCTTTGGTCGGTAGGCCACTCTAATTTTAATTGTCCTACTTGGCAATAAATCAGCTTCACGATTTCTTTCTCTTCAAGTGCTAAACACGTTTTTACACCAACATAACTGATGATTAAGATGAAACTTACGATCTTGAATAGACGTGACGGATATCTAAGGTCAATTTGCACAGGAATATCGAATCCACTTAGTTTTAGATTCGGGTATAGACCATCTAGACCGAAGATAGCTAATGAAAATAGCATTGACAATATTGAGTGTGTTTGGATTGAGGATTATTTTCCTTTATTTACACACACTGATTTACTTACATCATTAATACATTTTCCAATCACTTTTTTATTTCACATACATCATATCAAAAAAAGTGTTACAATACTTTTTTCACAAAATTATCTCAAAGTAGCGAGGTCAATTTGAACAGATATTCTGATAATCTTGGTTATTCGTAACCTTCCTACAGTTTCACGGGGCTTTTGGCCTCTAAAAGTAGCAAGGTCAATTCCAACATATATTTTTGGACTCATTTAATGTTTACTTGTTTAAGGCAAGGGAGGCTGGATTGTGTGATAAAATAAAAGAGATTATAAATAAGAGGTTTTAAGTTTAGTAGTTACCACGAACAAAAAAGAAAAATACTTGTTTAGGATGGGGGAGGTTGGATTGGATAATAAAATAAAAGAGATTGCAAATAAGAGATTTTGGGTTTAATATCTATCACTCATAAAAAAGAAAAATATTCGTTTAGAATTTGAGATGTTGGATTGGATAATAAAATAAAAAATATTATAAATACTAAATTTTGAGTTTAATATCTACCACTAATGAAAAAGAAACATACTAGGTTAGGAGCAAGAAGAAACATACTAGTTTAGGAGCAAGAAGATCTGAATGCAACACCAAATTATTACTACTCCCTCGTCCCGTTTACTTAGTTTTGATTTTTTTTTCACACAGATTAAGAAAGTGTAATTAATTTGGTTGGAAACATAAATTTAGATTAATAATTTCCTAAAATACCCTTGCTAATAACGAAGAGTGCATTGGAAAAGCTCAATGTATTCAATGTAATGGGTTAGTATTTAATAACAATGTATTAATAACAAAATATTTAATAAGGGTATTGTAGACAATTTGAAAGATCATTTCATTTCTTAATGGGAAAGTGGACTACAATTTGGGACAGACCAAAAAGGAAAACAAGACTATCAAAGTGGGACGGAGGGAGTACTATATTTTTTGGGTGGTGGGGTGGATGGCGGTCCCCACTGCTGAATACCTCATGGAATTTTCCATGATTTTTTTCATGGGGGTTTCGGACCCTAAAGAGTTGGAAAGGTCAATTTGAATAGGAATTTTTGTTTAACCTGCGTGCTGAATTCTAACCCCACCCCGCTCCCTCGTGCGGGTTGCTGAATACAACAAGAAGGATTTGTCTCTTACATTCAGTAACGGACCGTCAATACAGTAAAATGTATTAGATCTAGGTACACGTAACACATCAGTGAGGAATCTCAATACAAGCCATTGGAAATCGTTTTCTTGTCCACTTCCCCTGAGAGGATTCCCCCAAACAATGTGGAGCCAGATTAGGATCTCGTGGGAATCAAGTGCTAGAAAATTAATCTTAGTCCTTTTTAGCATTTGAAGGCTTTAATATATTAATTCTTCATAAAAACCAAGGCTAAGCTTCATTAAGACACGGCAATTGTAGGATCCTATTACAAAAAATGTAATGATGCATTTGATAAATTCGAAGTTTGAAAATTGAAATATGAAATATAAAATATTAAATCTAAATTCATTAAGTTATTGAATTATTAAATATTAAATTTAATATATCTGAGTGTATATCATATTAACTGATAAGTTAATAGTTTATCACTTATTTTTAAAAGTAAATTTTACCTAGAAAATTTTGTGTCATTTAATTAATTTAAATGTTCGATTTTTACTTATCAAAAGCATCTAAACATGATAAGACCTAAATCCATTAAATTCAAATATTGAATTAAATTATCAAACATAGTTTAATTCACCATCATAGCTAAACCGTGGTAAATACTCTACTATAGAATTGAGCGCGCCTTGTTCCGTGCACAAAATGAAGGGAACCATTTAACCTATCAATAAGCAGCCAAGTTTCTTGCTGCACGATCACGGACGTATGACGTGTTTCTCGGCTTGAAAATCACTTCTTGCACTTTTTTCTTTGTGGTCGCGGTTAGAATAGCAGTAGTTATTAATTTGTCCCGGTTTCTTTTTCCTCTTGGTCTTTCAAGGTTATTAATGGCTCAACTTCAGATCGGTTTCTCACAACGTTGACTCCAAACTTGATTGATTTGAGCATGACTATACATCTTTGTTCTCGTACAGTCGGATATACTTATCCACATTGCCTTCATTAGTGATGAAGTTCAACTCATACTCTTATAGTCTTATCCTGTCCTTTAAAGTCTAATAAAGCATAGAAAAAGAAGAAATCAAACTTCATTTTTTAGTAAATATACAGATCTGATTAGATTAAATAGTTATCCTGGCACTTTTTTTTATTTTTTTGTCACTATACATGCGATTCGAATTCTCAACCTACAGTTTAAAAAGAGATTTAATTCCTTTTTGATGATCACGGACTCAAAACTCAGTGGTTCAGAAACCAGACTTCACGTACCTGCAAAAAAAAGAAAAAAGAAAAAAGAAAAAAAAGGGCTGGTTTATTCCGTGATAGAGACAGTCGTGATGTGCTTTGCCAAAGCCTAGGTTGGAAAGATGGGAGTTAACCATAGCACAGATTGGCAGAAGGCTTCAAGGCAGGACTAAGTTTACGACATTCCACTTTGGGAAAATGTTTCACTAACTTGGGCACTGCCTGTGGTGTCTTTGTCTCGGTCACATCTCGCATTCCCTTATAAGCCTGGCAAATTTTCACGTTCGATTCCGAAAACATAGTGATAATTACACTGCAGAATATAACGTCCTCATTAGCATTTTAAGCATTTTGGTTCAAGCTAACATCAAAGTTCCGATCTCTCCTATCCTTTTCACCTTTGATATCAAAGCTTTCACATTGCCAAATATAGGTATGTTTAAGTAAATCACTGTTAACTGTTGAGTACAGCACCACGCGCCTGGTCTGAAGATATGATTTAGGACGAATGAAATCTAAGGCCCTCCTCCCCCGGCTGTAGCGTCTGGCTCAGGTGAGCCTAGCATCCGTCCTGGTTTGTCCCACCAAACGAAAGACGGCGACCCCAACGTCCCGTCCACGGACTAGACGTGAGCGTGAGTCTGGCTCTCACTTCATCTCTTTTGGAAAATTGGTTCCACCTTTTCCCACACTAATTCATGGACCTCTGTACTCCTTTGGAAACACAAGACTGTAATAACTAATAAGTGCATGGAAAATACTCCCATTTTGGGAGTCCGTTGGTGCATTAAGATTCAAGTTCCCCCCACTTCAAACCCCCCCCCCCCCAGCTTTTCCTATGTCAAACTCCTCCGATGTCAGTAGGTTTCATGTACAAGTATTGGTGTATTATATAATTTTTTTCCTCCTTCCTTATAATGAGATAGCTAGCAATACCCAAAGTAACTGCACTGCAACAGTAGTGTTATCGTGTAATGGTAGTGCTTTGATATTCTTTTCAAAAAACATTTTTTCTCTTTGGTTTGTTTCTGCAGAACTATTGCTGCATCATCAGATTAGTCGTAATAATCAATCAAGGAAGAGGTAGCTAGCTGAAGCCTGAAATGAATGACTACCCAACTCCAGTTCCCCGTAGAGATGGGCGGCGTGGGACCCTGCACCTGGATGGCTCAAGAAAAGGTGCCCCGGCGAGACCCCACGGCCGGCACATGACGATGGAGGATGAAAGCGGAGATCTGATCAAGTGTACCGGAAAGTCTTGCCAATCATGCACGGCCGGCTTGATCGCCGACTGTGTGGCCGTTTGTTGCTGCCCTTGCGCTGTAGTAAACATCTTGGTTTTCGCATTCTTGAAAGTCCCGTGGATGGTTGGGAGGAGAATCCTGAAACTTGGGAAAAAGAAGCAGCAGGGTCAGGGTGCCGGGAAGTTAGAAAGGAATGAGAGGCAGAAATGCGTTGGTGAAATGACTAATTACCTCGAGTGCACGATGGAGTCGGATGGAATTTCAAGAAAGTCAAGGGCAGTAGAGCAAGGGGCATCGGAATTTGTATTTTCTGGCTTCGGAGATGAAGTGCTAAAAGACAATTTTAGTGCAAGGTTTGAAGCGGAAGAGCTTTGGTTTGAGTTACACCAGTTCGGTCATCTGGGTTTTGGTAGGGTTTCTTTCACCGGAATTCCTTCCCTCTCTAGGACCAACTAGTAGTCGGTCCTTTTCTTGGTTTTGGGGGATTAGGGGGGGTGAGGTGGACGAACTTAATTCTGGTTTTTAATGCCCTCGTCAACTAGCTTCAAATCCCATATTCTTTCCAAATATTCAAGCCAAAAGGGCTGGTGTAAAGAGTTTAATTTGACCCTTGGCCTTGCGTTCATGTATGCATTGATTGGGTTGAAAGAATGAATTAATGGAGATGCATTCATCCCTTTCATAGGTTCATTTGGAATTTCTCCGGCCTCCCATCACTCTTTCTCCATTTCTTTCGAGAGGTTTGATTAGTAATCTCATTTCCCTGCATTTTACTGTTTCAACGGCTAACTTGTAGTGTCAAGGTACATGATAATCCTACCATATTAGCGATAGGCTCGTCAAAACCTGCTGTATATGCAAAAGCTCTGCAATAGTTTAAGTGCTCCTGCTCTAATAAAAACCTCGTCGTCAGTTTCTTGTCCACCCCCTTTCCTTTCCTTTCCTTTTTTCCTTTTTTTCGTTTTAAAATCTTAGGCTGCCTTGTGGCCACCAAACGACTTGCTTTCCATGATTGTGATTCTCCCTTTTAGTTATTTTAGATTACTTTTCCTACATGCATGCGAAATAAATTTGTCAAATGAATTGCGTAAAATGATTTTAATATGATTCACCAACTTTAGGCTTCTCTTTTTCTTTTACGTTTTCTTTTTATTTTTCATTGCGGCACAACATTAGGTTTTTTTATATGTATATATATAACAGTAGTGAAATATGGATTAGAGGAGGAATTGGAACATTCTGTCTAGGGATGTAATCGAGCCAAGTCGAGCTCGAGTATTGCTATACTCGAGCTCGACTCGACTCATATGTATCCAGGCTCGATCTCGATCGAGTCCAAGAAATCGTAACTCGAGACTCGACTCGAAGAATTCCCTTTAAACTCGAGACTCGACTCGATAAGGCTCGACTTTTAGTCAAGCCTTATCAAGTCGAGTTTAATCAAGTTTTTTGACTCGACTCGAAAAAGCTTTTGAACCTTATTTTCTTCCCTTTTTCTAGACATTTTTTCTTTTTAGATCTTTTTACAATTATGTTATTATTTTTTTGCCATTATGAAATTTTATTATAAAAAAAGAGTATATTGTAAATTCAGGATAAATTATACCCATAACGGTCATTTTTATAATTATAATACATATATATTATTTAAATACACCCCGACTCAACTAATAGCTCGACAAGTCTCAAATTATTGGCTCGAAACTCGACTCGAAGACCAATCGAATAGCTCGAGACTTGACTCGAACTCGATCAAACCGAGTTCAAGCCAAGCCATTGATCATGTGTTGTTTCGCTTAGAGAGAATAGACGGAGAAAAAGAGCAGTAAGATAGGAATAAGTTTTTTATAACCACCGTCAGCGCATATGATTATTAATCAATTTTTTATTGTGCCCTTTGGATATTTTAGATCACTTTGCATATATACCATGCAAAGTTGGAGGAATTTTATAAATCGTAACAAAAAAAAAAGAAGAGATTAAATTTCGTTCACCAGCTTTAGCCATTAATATCCGGATATATATATATATATATATATATATATAAACACACACATACATGTGTGTGTGTGTGTGTGTTTTGATTCTTGAAAAGGGAAAAACAAGTAGGGTTATCCCACATATACTAGCAGTTTCCACTAATTACTCATGCCTCCATGTGGTATGGAACTACGTATCGCATCACGATATTACAACTAATAAGTAATAATTGGGGCGATCTCTATTTTCAGGAATTTTCCATGGATTTTTCGTTGGAAAATTACTGTAGCGATTTGATGTATGTGAGGTAAAAAGATGATAGGGAAATGTGTTTGCGGAAAACAAGATTATTTTTCGATGAAAAATGGCTATCCAAACAAGTTCTAAATAATTGAGGTCCCAGTAGACTTGCTAAACTCGCCTTACGATTCATTAAACATGCCCTTTTTTCATCGTTATTATTTTTTATCTTCTCATCCCTCGACACATCTTTTTCACTCTTAATTATTAATTAAGCACGTGTGATTCGAATCCTGAACCAATAATGATACAAAAGCAAGACGGAAGAAGATTATATAGTCACACTCAAAACTCTGGATGTCATAATTGGCAAGTGAAAATCCGCTCAGGCTTGAAGTCAGGAAATTAAGCAAAGCAAGCTTGTACGTAGTCGTAGGCAATTTAATTTGATTCCTGCATTAAGAGCCGAACAACAACATCTTAAAAACTTTAATTAAATCTACTACTCCCAGTATATAATACAGCTAACAAGGGTTACATACTGAGCTCACTGCATCGGATCAAATTGGCAGATGAGCGCCGGAACTTACCTCTTTCCTAAAAAAACAAAAAAATTCTGCGCTTGGGTGAATTGGCCATGGGTAAAATCTGATGACAGAAAAACGTATGCCCCATTTTCGTATAAGAGCAATAGTCTGAAACCCTGGAGGAGAAACTGTGTATGTTGCCTCGAATACAAGAGCGAGCAAGCAAGGAAGCAGCTTTGAAACAAAAAATTGCAAAGTGGGAAAAAGTTCAGACTCTACAAAAAGAAGCGCAGCCGGATTTGTTCCTATAAACTGTCAGCCACCCTGCCCCGCCTCGTTCGAATTCTGCCTGGAGATTCTTTAGTTTAACAGGGCACGGGGAGGCCAGCTTAATACGCAGGAAGGCAATTCTTTTGCAGCTAGAATTAAAGGGAGTTAAAAGGAGAAATGTAGCAGAAAAAGGAAGAAGTAAAAAATTTTGAATAGCTGTCACGTCGCGAGTAAAAGTGTAAAAATTCCGGATTCATATTTACAGTTTGCACGAGGCTTCTCATATCAGGGATACAAATCAGTACTATAGAGGATAAAACCTCTGAATGCGTCAACAAATTGGGAAAGAAAAGGGACACGGCAACCCCCTCCCCAGTACTCGCTCCACTTTAACTACTGCTGCTGCAATCACAGCGCCTTTTTGCAGGGTGACTGGAAGGATGAAGCCATGAAGATGAAGGTCCTAAGCAGCTGAAATTAATCAACAACCAAGTACTCTTAGAGTAACTGGCCATCAAGAAGAGAACTTTAATTCTAAAAGATAGGTTAAAGGAATCGAATCCCTTGACCTGTATTCTAAATTCTAGGGCTTCGTGAAATGTTTTGAAATCAACAAATATGTTATGCAATATAGATGAAGAGTAGCGAGCTGTGTACATTTTTAACATATAGGGGAAAAAAAAATGGTACCTAGACCCAAAATGAGCGGTTTTCTTCCAAAACTAGTTTTTTTTTTTTTTTTTCAACAGATCGTCAACTTCTATACTATTTCAAAACTCGCTTGATTAGCTAATTAATGCTGCATCATTAAAGTGAGTTTTGAACAGATTATTAAGAACAAACGGTAGTTGTTCTCTTATCTATATGCACCACCGCAAAGAAAATTACTACTTAGTATAATGCAATATTGAAATAAGTTGGCGGTCATGTCATAACTCCTCCTCCTCTTCTTTTTCTTTTGTTTGAAAAAAAAAATCTAATTTAGCTTATCGTTTTGGAGGATTCTCTCTCCTACTCTTTTATGTCTGCACTCTGCACATACAGAATTTCAATCAAAGTTTAAATCAGAAACAAAAACCTGCAAACTTCAACGAGTCAAGCCCAACTTTAGAATGAACGTGGTGTTGTGTTGTGCATGGCATGATTCACTAATTGGGCTGAAGGTTCGGGTTCAAGTCCAACAATGTGGTTCGGATGGCAACTTTGGCATTTCACATGTCGAACTAACTTCAAAAGTCTGAAAAAAAAAAAGAGATAAAGACGCAGGGGAAGTATCTGGGTTCTTCTTTAAGGCATAATAGAGGTTGCCCTACTAACTTTTCCGTAGTCCCACGTCATTTCTTTGGGGTTGGGTAATTAAATCCCTAGATTTGCTTCTAGAGTTACGCTTTTGGGATTAAATCTGGAATTAGGTTTAATTAACTAACTTCAAAAGTTGAAAAAAAAAAAAAAAAAAAAGACAATGCAGTGCACGGTGCACGTGCTGCCACGACCGGACTGATTCGGTGCACAAAACATACCATACGCCGACAGTGGTAGCCGTAGCATATGATGTCGCCAGACCCAGCGCATTTTAGCACCCGGCGCAACTCTAAATCATCGTGACTCCCCGGTCCAGACTCTAGACTCGTCCAGGCGCCTCACAGAGGAAAAGCTATAGTTCCAGTCAGTTGAGATTTGAGAAAGAGCGACTCAGTGAGTGAGGTAGGGACGAAAATTAGAACTGAGAAAGATGGAGAGCGAGCCAACTCGGATAATGATGGGAGTGAACGAGTCGACGATCAAGGGGTATCCGCATGCATCCATCAGCAGCAGAGGAGCTTTTGATTGGACTCTGAAAAAGATCATTCGCTCCAACACTTCTGGCTTCAAAATTCTTTTCCTACATGTTCAAGTTCCTGATGAAGATGGTGATTATTCTTCCCTGTCTCCTTAGTCTTTATGTATCTACCTAGCGGCTAGCTCGTCCAGATAGTACCATGTATAACGTCTGTTGTTTTGGAGTTTTATACGCGATTGATTTTTTCTTTGGGAAATTTTGTTGCGAATTGGTTAATTAGGGCTTTTTATTGCCTTGTTTGTTAGTTTTTTCAATTAATTTTTCGTCGTCTATATTTGTGAAAACGTGCGTACCTTGTTGTTTGGGATATCCTCTCTCTCTCTCTCTCGGTCGTTGGTTTTTTTACAAACTAATTTCAAATTGGAACTGAATATTTGTGGTAATAGATTTGCAATTTCTTTGCCACTGAGCTAGTCAAGAGCAGCTATAATTACTGGTCTTCATTTGATCTGATATATGCCTTCTGAGTTCTCGTGATCGAGCTATCTCCGTGATTGCTTTTGCATTTACTATTTAGTTTTGGTTTATTGTTGAAATTATTAGGTAAACTGCGTGATGATGTCCTTTGACCGTATAAAGCATCTGTGCATGTCTTACGTGGTTGTATATGAGGCACCCAACACTAAAGTTTTCCAAAATTTAAATGGCTCTACTCGTAGACTTTAGTACTGGTAATTGATATCACGGTTAATCTGAAAATGAATATGACTAATGACACTTGACTAATAATTGTCTGAAGATTATTTGGTTCCAAACCTTTAGAATGTTGGACTTGGATATGCTTGACAAAACGTTCTATTTTTTGACCTTCATAATTATGATATGCT